TTTATCACAAATGAGGGGATTGACTATTGGAGGAGAAAAGACCTTGAATGAGTTGTGTTTAAGGTTGACTTCAAAAGAGCGTACGATTCAATTTATTGGAGTTTACTATAAAAAAATAGTGGATTTCATGGGATTTGGTCAGAAGTGAGGATCTTGGATGACTATGTGTTTTTCTACGGCTTCCATCTTGATGTTGGTGAATGGTTATACTTCAAATGAATTTCATATTGTGAGGGGTCTCCATCAGGGTTCCTCTCTTTCTTCACTTCTATTTAATTTGGTTGGTGAACTATTAAGGCTGATGTTGTCAAAAGCTGTGAGGTTAGACTTGTTTAGAGGTTTTCAGATTGAGAGTCCAAGAGATTCGTTCGAGCTATCTCATCTTCAATTCGCTAATGATCTATTAATTTTCTGTAATGCTTCAATTGGGGAGTTGAAGAATGTGATGAGGGTGCTTATGATCTTTGAGTTGATTTCAAGGTTGTAGATTAATCTTTTGAAGAGTATATTATTTGGTATTAACATGAATGACGAGGTCATTAGTGAGTGGGCTGCAGCTATTGGGTGCTCTGTGGGTTCGTTCCCATCGGATTATTTGGGTTTACCTCTTGGGACGAAGAAAAATCCAGTTTCCTTGTGGGATCCGATTATTCAAAAGTTTTATAAAAAATTGATGGGGTGTAAGTCAGCCTCATTATCCTTAACTGGAAGAATCGTGTTGATAAAGTCGGTTCTTTGCTCTCTATCAATTTACTTCATGTCGATTTTCAGATTGTCGAGATGTGTTTTGAAAAGACTTAATTCAATCATGGCAAGGTTTCTTTGGGGAGAGTAGGGAATGAATAACAGAATTCATTGGGTGAATTGGGAGACTGCTTGCAAGCCTAAGGCTTTGGGTAAATGGACTTGGAAGTTTGCCAACGAGAAGAAGTCATGGTGGAAAAGAATAATTTGTTGTAAAAATACTATTGACCCGAAGTCTATGAGGGTGGAGAGTTCAACCTCTTATAAAACTTCTTGGATTTGAAATGGGGCTGTGAAGAATTGTTACTCCGAGGATGAGTTTGGAGTATGTTTGTGGAGTAATTTCCAGCTTAAGGCGGGCAAGGGGGACTCAATCAAGTTCTGGAACAATGCTTGGTTGGATAGTGTAACACCCCCAACCCGTATCCGACTCGGATCCGAGTCTGAGGTGTCACATTGACTTTTCAAAACGCTTTTCTTTACAAAACGACTAAAAGTTAATTTCACAATTCTAGAAAATAATTACTTTTTATTTATTTAAAATCAATTGGTTTTTACAAAACATATCAGAGCATATACAACTCAAATCTAATAGTACATGCCAACTATATTCAAAATAACAAAATACATATTAATCATTACTTTTCTGATCTGAGCTTCACAAAGGAGATGCTGACATGTCTCGCTCATCTTGCTCCTCTATCTCTTCGAAACCTACGTGTGAAACACTCACACTCTAAGTCTATGACTTAGTGAGGCATAAAAACATATAATATAAACTCTAAATTACAACAATGCATGAACAATCACTACTATCATATCATACACAAGCATATATCCTTTCATATAACAAGTACACACATGCACATATATCATCATCTTCATACTTAGTATTATTATTAATCTTTTTATCATATGATCCTTTATTTACTATGTGTGCACATCTTATATCACATAGATCAATTCATAAAGAATCAAACATATCATTATACAGTTTCTATAATTCATCTCATATCACATAAGCATATACAGTATGTATATATATATATAAGGTATTTGTTGTTATCTCTTTCTTATCACATGTACACATGTGAGAACTAAATATATGTGAGTACATTGAGGTTGTGCACCTTTGTTGTCTCCACAGCTCGTATAATTCCACTGAGTGGCATATGAAATCTATGTCCCGAAGGACGTCATCTGTGCCCCTAAGGACCTGTTCATATGTCCCGAAGGACATAGGTAACCCTCGACTCTTGGCATGCCAACTATAACTCTAGCTCTCTTGACACATAACATAGGCATTGTCTTTATGCTGGTCACATATTTACTTATTCATATTATTTCTCTTATAAACACATATTTCTTCTCTTCTTTCACGTATCACATGTACGTGTAATCATCGATCTTATATCATATAACATTCTTCTATATTCTCATATTATTAGACTTATTTCACTTTCTCAAGTTATAACATAGACATGTAGTCTCATGTATCTTATCAATACTAAATAATTTACACATGTGTTCATGTATATTCTTTCATATAATCTATATAGTAATGTCATAATTCTAATCTCATACAATAATTGAATATAAGTATATCTTAGGTTCATATCCATGCCTAGATCATAAAACACCTGAAGCTTCCTCATAGTGTTATACTACATTTATACTACATGTTCATATAATCTCATATTATCCTATAAGTAAATACTATTTATCCTGTCTCACTTTTCCATTTACTCATATAATTATATATACCAGTCTACATGGTTTATTACACTATCCCAAATTAATATAGTTTATGTAATTTATGCCATAACATATAATTTACATCACTTATCTTATAGTTTTGTATCATCATTTATATTTATGCCCCCTAATTTTTATAATATTCTCATAAAGTCTCATAACCTTTCTCGTATAATCACTTATTCCATATAATATAACTTATACTTAATTATCTTATGTTCACATATATTTATATCAAATTATTCTTTAACTTATAGCTTATGTCACTTGTTCATTTCATTCCTTATGTCTTTATCACATAGCTTATTTCATATTCTTATATAATCATATAGATCATTTGTACTATTTCACCTTACTTATCACACTAACATGTACTTACACAATTCATGTAACATACACAATAACATGTCAATACATATACTCATACACATATATAAATCATAACAAACACATACTTCTATGTATGAATTCATGCCTTTTACTATTGGAAATAGACTTGTCACAAGTCTTATGTCCATTAAACATCATATACTAAATAATATGCACTCAACTGACCTCACTAGTCAATATCGTTCTCTTATCTTTTCCACGATGTCGAATACTTGTCGACTTGTTCGGACTTTGTTCTCGATCGATATCTACACAATTATACATATTATATTCATATCAACAACCAAATATCATGATTCGATCCTTAGCTTCTTAAGCTAGAAGAAAGAATTAATCCAAATTTCTATTGCAATGGTATCGATACCCCCATAGGGTATCGATACTTCTCTATATTTGGTATCGGTACCATGCCTAGGTATCGATACCCATATTGCATTCTGTAATTCTCGTTCAAAGAATGTATCGATACCTTCCTTAAGGTATCGGTACCCTGGGTATCGATATTGTTCTTCCCAGGTATCGATACCCTTTGAATGCCTTCTTTATTTTTACTCTTGAGATATTGGTACCTGATGAAGCAGTACTGATACCCCTTACCCAGATTTTCCTTTTTAAGCTCGAAAAATCACTCTTGTTAGCTAAATTTTAATCCCTTTCATACTCTCAACTCAAGTATACATATTTAAACCAATTTCTACTCATTTATCATATCTTTAACCTCAAAATCTTATCCTCCACATGGAATTCAAGAATCATACTCAATTCCCAACATGTTATAAATCGAATTCTAACACTTCATACTTCTTAATTCCACTGATGATAAGTCAAATTTAGTTTTGAAATCTAATTATTGTTTCTCTACAAAGATTTCATTTAAACACCCATCATCTTTAATCCTTTCTATTTTCTTCATCTTATTATTTTAAGACAAATTAAGTTTTCCTTACGCTTAAATGTCACCTAATGATCAAAACCAAACTTAAATTTCAACTAATAATCAATTAATAAGAAAATTGACCTTTGCCTTGAGCTCTCACGTATGAAGAAGAAAGGAGAAGAAGAAAACTCTGGAAGCTTGGATCTTTTCTTCCTTTCATCCACGTGGGTGACTTCCTTAAAAGGGGAAAATAAAAAAAAATCTTTCCTTGCCAAATGACCATTTTACCCTTATTACTTTCAAACTTTACTATTAAATCCAACATCAAAATTCTCCAATTAACCATGAACTTTTCAATCTTTTGAAATTAGACCTCAAAGTTTTAAAACTTCCATTTTAGTCACTAGCCCTGATTTTGGGATATTACAGATGGAGTTCCATTGAAGATTTGGTTCACTCGTTTGTTCACATTATCAAAGAACAAGGAGGGGAAGATTATCGAATTCAATACATCTAACTCGTCATGTTGTTTTTGGGATATCGCCATAAGAAGAAACTTAGCTGATTGGGAGATGGAACAATGGAATGAGCTTATGGCTTTATTGTATAACTTCAGTCCTACGCATTTGATTGATGATAGTCTAGTATGGACATGTGAAGGAGATGGGTGTTTTTCAGTGAAATCGTGCCTTAAAATTTTTCTTAGTTGAGCTGTCAATTATTTTCCGTGGAAACTAACGTGTCAGCTGGTGCGGCTCCTCCTCGAGTTGAATCTTTTTTTTGGCAAGTGGTACACAAGAAGATTGTTGTCAAAGTAGAGTTATTAAAACGTGGGGTGCAAGGTATAGAAGATCCATTGTGTCCTTTATGTGGGTTGGTTCAAGAAACGGTTTCCCACCTATTATTTTCTTATAAGTTTTCTTCGGGGTTATAGGCTAGCTTTTTGCGTCGTTGGGAGGTTTTCTTTGCAATTTTGGAGTGTCCTAAAGCTTTATTTTCAGTTTGGGTAGATCTTATACCCAAATCAAGTGTTTGGGAGTTCATCCCAGGAGCTGTTTTATAGTCGATTTGGAAAATGAGAAATAATATTGTTTTTAATAAAGGAAAATTGGATTGTGTTCTGTTATCTTTTCTATCGAGGTACATTGTGGAAGTTTGGTTTTCTTCGAAATTTCCAAATCGGACGGTCTCTTTTGATAGCCTTGTGGGGGACCTTGTGTTAGTTGATCGTGTGATGTGCTCTGCTAAGAGGCCTTTAAAGGTAGCTAGTTGGTCTCGTCCTCCTTCCGGTTTTGTTAACGCGAATGTTGACGACACTATGGGTAAGTGGTGGTCGAAGGGTGGCATTGGTGGGATGATTAGAGATGAGAAAGGAGTGACGTTGGGTTCGTTCTCTGAAGGTATTGGATCCGGACCTCTTATTATGGCAGAGTTGATGGTGGCGAAAAAAGGTTTGAATTTGTTTCTGGATTTGGGGATGTCGGCAAAACGAAGGCTTATTTTGGAATTCGATAGTGCGGTGGCAGTGGATTGGATAAAAAATCCAGCTAGTTCCACCCCGATGTTCCTTTCCTTAGTTAAAGATATTACAAAGATTGTGGTTGATAAAAGTGTCATTGTGCTGCATGTGGTGAGAGCAGTTAATTGTGAAGCATATCAATTTGCCAAATTAGGGATGGTTAAGTGGAGGGGATTTAATTTTGTTGTTGTTTAGTTTCTAGGGAATATTTGACAGGTTAGGTCATTGTATTAGTTTGTTCCTGGCTGAATCATATAAGGAGGTTGTAATCTATAGGGTAATTATTTATGCTTAATTGTAGTGCATCTTTGCACAGTGTTGAGGGTTGCCAAGGGTTCTTGGCTATATTGTGATCTTTTTGTACCTGTGTATTATTCAATAAAATTTCATAGGCACTATTTTCCTCCTTCCAATGTTCGTCAAGTCTTTGTTGCTTTACGGATATGAAGGGGTTTTTAATGAGACATTCCTTATTATAAAAAAACATTAAAAGGCTTGTCAATACATAACATACGTTAATGTAGTAATATGCATAGAATCCAAAAAAAATTCAATACTGAAATATTTATCTCCTACTGAGATGGAAGCACCAAAAAAAAACTAAAATGCAGATTGGTTCTTTTAAATTTTATAAACAAACAAATTCAATACTAAAATATTATAAACAAGTAATATCATTTAAACATGCAAAGAAGAAATCTTTCGCATGAAAATTTGTTTTCAAATTTTAATTGATTCATTCTAAATACTAATAAACAAAATCTTACATCTCGATAATATCAAACAAAACCCAAAATCTTGATTCAATTTATTAAACGAGGTAAAGTAAAAAAAATCAAATTAGCTAAAATATTTATAGATACTCGATTTGTCCGGGGCCAAGTCGTAGCAGACCCAAAGCAATAAGAGCCCAAAGGAGCCCAAACCAGCTGGAGGCCCATCTCAAGCCCAATGGACAGCAACTGCATGCAAAAGTGGAGAGAAATTGGGGTCAATTTTTAGCAGTTAATATAATCAGATAGTGGACGGATTAACTACTGAAAACTAAAAGAAATTAACCACTAAAAAAGAGTGAGATATCATCAATTTGGAGGGGGGAAATTATCAAGCATCACAGACAAAAAAACGAGAAAAAGGAGATTACACACAGAAACCATTACGAGAGAGACCAGAGATCATTGTATTTGTTTTTTTTTTCAAAACACAAGAGAGCTTCCCCTATTGATTCTTTTTACAGAGAAGGAAAAAACATTGTATTCGAAGATCAAAGGAAACAGAGCCCTCTTTTATCGAACCAAAGCAATATACGGAATAAAAAAAGGGTATTTATTTCTTAGTTTCCATTCTCAATTGCTTTCATAATTTTATTGTGTGTATATACTTTGAATCGAAACCAAGTCAAAATAATGGTATGTTCACCATAGGGGGGTTATTTTCGGTGCTATGTTCGAAGGAAAGTTGAGTAGTCGGGTTTGGGTTTCTAAAAAAATAGAAAAGGAAAATTAGTGGGCATTTAGAAATTAGTTTGTTTAAGAATTTAAAGGAAGTAAAGAGAATTTTAATCGGTTTACCTTATTCGCTGGAAACGTTATCGTTGGTTTTGTGAAAGTAGAGTGGGTATCGTCGTGTGAGCTTCGAAAGGGTAGATAGCGTGAGGGGTCTCGAGGGTTTCGGTTAAAGATGATAGAAAGGTTAGCGATAGAAGAGGGTTGCAGCTACCATGGTACGGCGATCGGAGCCATTGGTTGTGAGGCTCTCGGTTCAGCTAGCGTAAAAGGAATGGGAGAGTGGAGAGTGAAGTGATGAGCGGCAACTACTTTTGGCTAGGAGTAATTAGTTAGCTTAGGTTTAAGTTTTATTTTAGGTTATATATTTTGTGTTTTGGGTTAATTATTAATTTAGTCACTCACGCTTTAGGCTAAAATTATGTTTTAGTCCTCTCAGGTTTAGCGTTTTTTGCATTTCTGTCACTTGTAAAGTCGTTTTTTAAATTTTGTCTTTTTTGTCCTGATTTCTTTATTTTCCAGTTTTGGTTTTCTATTTTATTCTTTTGGATTAATTATTTTCATACCCTTATTAGTTAAGTGTTTTTTTATTTTAACCCTGTCTAATTATTGATACACATGTTTAATTTCTGTTTCATCTAATTTTAGTCCTAAGTGTAATGTATTTAATTTTTGATATTTTAGACATTGGACCTTCAAGTTTTTTGCATGTTGCATTTTAGTTGTGGATATGTTTGTGTTTATTATAGTTTTAGTCCATTCTATTAACCATAGTTTTATTTTAGTTTCATTATTTAAAGTGGCTTAGTAGTTGTGTTTTTATCTCGATTATTATTACTTTGGTAGCTAGGGGTAATTTATTATTATTTAACCCTGGTTTTAACAAGTATGATCAGTTTCTGAAATTTGCACTTTGAAATTTTGTGGTTTTGCTTTTTTATTTTTAGTCATATATATATATATGTAATATTTTTAATACGCATATATGTATATAGTTTATTAATATTAGTTAGAATACATTTATTTATTTTTTTATTGTAAATGTCTCTTTATATGATTTTTTTTAATATTCATTAATATTTAAATGATTACATTTTTAATTAAGTTTTGCATGATAGTCTCATTTGCATAACTCGACATATTACATAATTGGATTAAGGGTAATACACTTTTAATTTAAAATTGTTTTAAGTGGGTTGTCATAACGCATTTGAGGTCCGTTTTTAATAATTTTAAAATAAAAGTGTATCCCATTAGTGACGCCTAAAAATTGATCCATCACATTAAAATTTGGGAATGGAAGAAAAAGAAATATTCGACTATTTAAATTTATCGAGAAAAGGTTGTTATAGCTTTTAAGATCCGGTCTCGATATTTGTAAATAATCGAACATTCTTTATCTTTCTAAAACGACTTGGTAATTTTAATTTAATTTATTTGGGTGCTTTTGAATATAAATAAATTCACATCTTTATTTTATGGGATCAAAAATCAAATTAAGTTCGAATTTGTAAAATTCATTGCGACGACATTAATTAATCGACTAGGTACCGATTTAGGGCGTTGTGGGGGTGCTAATCCTTCCTCACACATAATCGACTCCCAAATTCAGATTTTGGTAACACGGACCTTAATTTGTTGTTTTAATTAAAATTAATTTTTATTTAAAATAACGAACATTTTTGGGTGCTCAATCACACCCTAATCAAAGATTGGTGGCGACTCTTTGAACTGTATTTTTTCGATCGTAAAGGAAATCCAAAATTTTTCGAAACGAGAGGTTTTTAAATCGCATTTGTTTTTAAATTAAAAATCAATTGAAAGAGGTAAATTAAAAATTAATGTGGTTTTTAAAATCTCACAATTTAAAGAAAAAAAATCGTTTCGACAGCTTGGCGACTCCGCTGGGGATTTTTTTTAGAGAGTCAGGCCGATAGTCGATTAATTAATTATCTTTGCAATTGAAAATTATAAATTCGTTTTAATTTGGTTTTTGATCCCTTGTTTGGTTTTTAATATGTTTTGTTTGTATTTTGATTTTTTTAATTTAATTTGATTAACTAATAAATAGTTGGACTGATTTGTTTGTTAATGGTTTCAGATTAATTGTGTGAATTTAGGAAATTTTGAGTGTCTTTATTGTGTGTGTTTTTCGTTTTTCCTCACACACTGCACAGCTATATTTTCATGACATGAGCTAAAACCCCGCTCCGTCTAAATTAAGTAGGAGTGAGAGACTATGCCCTCGTGTGGTTTTCACCTCCGCATGGGATAGTGGATCGCTCATGGAGCTCACGCAGTATGGTCCTCGTAATGGTAATCACCTCCGCATGGATATAAGGAGGTTTGTTCCCTAGAAATTGAACTTGATCCCCTAAAGCCTGTGATGGGCCAGGATTAAGGGTTCGGTAGCCCAAGGGGGCACCGACAAGGACAATTCGAGAACATATTACTTTAGAACCAAACCCAACATATAGTGAACATAGAGCCTGAATTTAGGTCGAGCCTAACCCAAACCTTAAGAGTCCCGTGAGGACGGTACACAAGGAAAAGCTTTTTGAGTTATTTATTTTCACTTTTCAAATAAATACATGCGAACTAGAAATCATGCGGTTAGGTTTATTTGTCAAGCAAGCATGCGAATTAGATATCATACGGTTAGGGTTTTAATGTTCAAACAAAGCATGGGGGTAGATATCATGTTGGGTAGGATCTACTAAAGTATGATTGGGTAGCCAGCATATGAGGGTAGATACCCATTGTTGTTCTATATCTATTTTATTTTGATTTTATTGCATTCGTATCTTCATGTCATCACAAGGTGTTAATTCGTAAGTGATTGACTAATAAAAAGGCTGGACATATTGAGACAAGAAATTCATAACCATGTAGTCAAAATCAGGAGATTCAAAGATGTTCAAATGATCCATGAAGAAGAACATCCGATGAATGAAGAAATCTGAAGCTGATTGAAGACTTCCTTTAAAGGAGTGAAGGCCGAGATATTCCCTCAGAAGATAGATACAGTTATACCAAGGACAAGAAGACCCTTCACAAAGACATGAAGATCACTTCGTATTGAAAGTAAAATAGAGACCTCAAGATTCAATTTAAGGACATCTGGTGTCATCAAAGGTGATAAAGTACGCCGACAACTTTGTGTGCAATGTTAGATTCCATGAAGAGTACGGCTCAAGGAAATAAAGGAATGAAGAATCACATTTATATATTTTGGCTACATGGTGTACTGAATTCTTGTTGTCTAAATGAAGGTTGTTCTATGGTGGTCACTTTTGGAATTAATACCTTGTGCATTTGCATTTGTATTCGCATTTACATTCTTATTAGCTTCAATTTATTTATTTTGTTATTGTTTCTTTTTGTCATTTTGTTATCTTATTTGTACTAACCTGTTTTTTATGTTGTTTTTCTTTTTTCCGTTATTGCATGATCATGACATATTCAAAAGGTGTTGATTTGTAAGTGGTCATCATGGTAAAAGGTTTTCATGACGGATAAGGGGTTTCGTGATCAAACAGACTATAACACAGTCAAGAAATGTCATCCTGAGAAAGCTTCGAAAATAGTGGAGAGTTGTGCACATAAAGATCATATGTCTGACGAAGAGCACAAGGAGATAAGAGAGATAAAAGAGTAAATATCCAAGATGATGGATAGAATAGATGTTTT